GTGTAATATTATTTTCGAGGTCTTTGTTGCCATCAATGAGAGCAAGAAGTCGTTCAACTAATTGTCTCCTATAATAACCTTTGAATGTCTTTATTATTCCGGCATCTAATGGTTGTGTACATGAAGTGGTATTTGATCGCATAAACGCAAACTTAATGTTTGAAAACTTCAATTCTGGTGTGTGACCACTGAAGTTGTCGACAAACATAAGGATATATCTGCCCTCTGGCTATCTGTTTGTTGAATTTTGACATTATTTCATACCATATGTCACCCGTCATCCATGCCTTCGAGTTATTAAAATAATTCACTGGGAGTTTCAACTTATCCTTCGGCAAACATCTAGGATTTGCAGACTTTCCTATGATATCCAACTTCTTCTTATGAGAGCCGTCAGCGTTTGTTATCAACAAAACAGTTATTCTCTCTTTTGAATGTTTTCCTCCACTACAAGACTCGCCTTTGAATCTCAATGTCTTCTTCGGTTGCATTCGCCAGAAGAGAGCCGACTCGTCTGCGTTATAAGTGTCACACAATTTATACGGTTTAATAATGTCTGGCAATCTGTTTGTTAACCAGTCGTTAACAACATTTTGGTCAACACTGCCCGCTTCGCCTGAAACCTCTCCATAAGTGATATCATGTCTGTCCCTTAACTTATGAAGCCATCCGTCACTGGCTTTGAATTCATTGATTCCCATGTCTTTGGCTATCTTTAGAGCAGTCGTTTGAACCAATGGTCCAGAAATCGATATTTTCTGTTGTCTTGCTTTTGAAAACCATTTAATGACTTCGACATCAATATCTTCATACTTCGGAGTCCTTATAAGTTTTCTCTTTGAGTTGATTTTTCCCGACTCGTAGGCTTTGACTATCATATCTCTTTGACTCTTAATTTGAGTGATGTTTGACTTGTGTTTCAAATTGTATTTTTCAACAATTAATCCATAGTCCACTCCTTTGTCAATGTCTTGTATTATGTTATACTTCGTGGACAGATCTATCGCTTCTCGTTTTCGTTTAGACATTTCACTGAATAATTAGTACACTGTTTAACGCACAATCTAAATCAACACTAAATGACATAAATGTTTGGATATATTTTGCAACAAAAACCACACTTTTTGCATTCAATACAATACAATATTGATAAATGCGTTTTTTGTATGAAATTACAGTTTAACTCTTGATTTCAAAATTTTTATACATAACTCGGAGTGGATTTTAAGCCTTATTACCAGTGAAATGCATACATAACTGGGAAATATACATAACTAGGAAGTTCATAGTAGAGAATGCATTTAACATTACAGGTATAGGCAATCCGTCAAAAAATAAGTTACTGTTCATAAGTTAGAGCCGTACATAACATAGAACTTCACAACTGGAAGCTTGTACTGTACTTAGCATTATATAAGTAAATATTATAACAAACTTAGTATACGGTATATAAAAATAATTTATTTTTTAAAACCTAGACTATTTTAATTTATTTAACACAGCTAAAACATTTATTTAACCAGAGTCATTGTGTGTAAAATTGTAAAATAATCACAAATCGTGATTTTTTCAAAAATATTAAAAATCATTTAGATATCTCAAACAGTACAGTATTATTTATAGGTATTACATAAAGTAAATAGTATTTACTAAATACTGTATACTGTAACATAAAATAAATTATAATAGTATTATCATTGTTCAGTACATCGAGGGAATGTGAAATGATTTTTTAAAATATTATTTTTCGCAAATAATTTCAATAACACTTTCAATTAGTAATTTGTTAGATTTTAAATGTTTTTTCTATCACTTATTTTTATATCAGATAAATGGGAGGAAAGTATTGTTAGATTTTGTTAAAAAGTTTGTGTTTATGTCTATACAAAGTGAACACCACTTTAAACATAAAATGTTATTCAATAAGAAATGTTTGACTAATGGGATAACTCTGATAGTGTGCACAATCATTATTATAATGGTGTACAACATTGACTTAAGACCAAAACGTATAACAAATCCAAGTCTCCTAGATTACACCAACATAGTTATCGATACGATTAACAAAATGCAAAATCCGCCAAATTGTCGCTTAGCAAGCAAATTTGTTTGCATATTAAAGATTAAATGTGGATTTGGGTGTACCATGCACCACTACGCCTATTGCCTAATATTAGCCCTCAAACTGAACCGGACACTTATTATACCCGAGACCATCGCCAATACGTACACATCACACATGAAAATGCTTTTCCGACCCATAAGTGACACGTGTTTGGACTCAAACGGAGACAACAGCATCACATGGGAAGGGATGTCAGACCAGACACACCATTATTATCAAGTGATTGACTTTTATTTTGGCTATGATTCAAAGGGATATCTCCAGGATTTGAAAAATCTCACACAAATAATACGTCAATTGCAATCCCTGTCCACTGAACCCATTCCTCTATTCATTGGACATATAATCCGGTATTTAATGCGTCCGACACTAGAGTTGAGCCGATATTACGATAATTATAAGCAAAGGATTCAATGGAAACACCCTATCGTTGGCCTACATGTGCGACGGACTGACAAACCTCCACGCATTCAATAACATACGAAACAGTTATGAATCGATTCGTAACTTAATTGTCGAGATTTTGGTGTTAAGTGAATGCGATTACATTGTCTGCACCTTCAGCTCAAATATCTGTCGTTTGGTGTTTGAGTTACGGATGAGTCGTATTAACAACTCATTAGCCTTTCAATCATTAGATAGAAAATATTATTATCGTCCCTGATACTAGTATGTTTTTTCAATGTAGTGAAAATAGGTTTTTTTTATAAAATATCTCGACTAATATAATAAAAAGTACTTTTCATAAAGCTTTAATCTTTCAATCATATGAGTTATTCCTATGGAAAGTTTACAGAAACATAAAATAGTATTAATTTTAAAATGTACTTTATATATTATCATGCCTTTATTATGTATAAAAGTTGTAATTGTAATTACCTTATTTTTTAAATTATCCACTATAAAATTTGTTTTAAAAATTTATTCACACAATTAAAAGATATTATTATAATAATTGTACCCGTATTTTAAAAATTGATAATTATGTGATGAATTTTGTAATTTATTTATAAATGATTTTATTGCAAACGTATTAACTTAATAAAGTTTTCGTCCATTAAATTACCCAGGGTTAGTACCACACTAATTATAATTTACAATTATAATACACTGGTCTTTATTTAAGATTATTATTGTTGGCAAAAAATAAGTTATGTCATTTGTTGGAAAGTAAAAAATCTTATTAATATTTCAATTTATTCAAGATTCATTGAAACAATTAAAAATTAAAATATACATTAAAACTATTTATTTAAAACCCCATGTTTTATTAGATAATTTATAATTTATGTTCTATAATCATAGAATTATTTAATTTTAAACATTATAAAATAGATCATTTAAAAGTTAGATTGTATTACAAAAATATTTTCATTAATAACACGTTCGATGACTATCTATATATAAAACAATTTTCATAATAACCATTAGTTTTTAAAACATTTTAAAACATTATAAGTAATGTACTGTAATTTATATAAAATTAAAGGAATTTTAACAGAAATAAAATCAGTTTTTATAATAAATTATTTTTATTATCAACAAGATTTCAAATGACACTTTAAATTATGCTAGTCAACCATATATCATAAACACAATTAATTTCTATATTTTTCTAAATAATAAAATATGCTCTTAAATAAGAAATCTTTAAATAATCCGTTTACTCTGATAGTGTGTACAATCATTATATTTATAATTACAGTGTTTAACATTGATTTAAAACCAAAACGTATAAAAAATCCTAAACATATTATTAATAAGTTTAATATTGCAATTAATACGGCTATTAATGGTAAGTACTGGATTATTATCATTTAAAATAGCACTTAACAATATAGTATAATAATTATTTGTGCTATCTTGATAAAATTTTAATTACAATTATTTTACCTACTGTACATCAAACTATACAATTTAATTAGAACATACCTACAATATACGTAAACTGGTCAATCTACTATTGTATAGTAGATTAATAATAATTATTAAATTAATAATTTTACTTATAAGTATAAAGTTTGGTACTTTGTATTCATATCAATAAATTGTTGAATAATACTGTATAGTTTAAATACAATTACCCTGAAGCTAATTTTAACCACTATTCACAGTTTGCATCTTCAATTAATTATTGATTAATATACTGCATTCGTAAAACTAATTGTAAAAAGACTATTGGTTGTTGTCAAACTAATAATTTATTGTAAGAAATAATTGATAAAATAACAACTTTTAAACAAAAACATTTACTTAAAGTCATTCAATGAACACTACAATACATAGTCATTAAATAGTCATACATTTAATTGAAACAGTTGGTTGAGAGCACCTACATTATAGACAAAGCCTCCGTCGACCACCAGATTAGCGCCGGTAATAAACTGCGCGTCACTTGAGATTAGAAAAGCCACGGCTTTGGCTATATCTAAGGGTTGGCCTAATTTCTTAAGTGGTGTGAACTCACGGGTCTTTTCCCAAATCGGTGGCAACGGTTCAAACACTTGCGTAGCGCCGGGACTGACATTTCAAATCATTTATTAGTTTAAAGATTAAAATAATTTCATAAAATACTAATCACTTAATAGCGTTGACTCGTATGTCGAATGCAACCGAAGAAGACATTGAGATTCAAAGGCGAGTCTTGTAGTGGAGGAAAGCATTCAAAAGAGAGAATAACTGTTTTGTTGATAACAAACGCTGACGGCTCTCATAAGAAGAAGTTGGATAGGTTGTCTATGATTTTACCTACGTTGATTTTACCTACAAAACCTAAAATACTAAAATATTAACGGTTCCGTTCATCGAATTATTGCATGTGATATATGGTTGGAATCAGCTCAATGAGAAGGTTCAGAAATTCACTTCTTAATCTGGATCAGCTAATATTCCTCCATGGTCAAAGAAGATAATTATATTTAATTCAACTAAAGAAGATAATTTCTTAATCTACTCATTGAGCTGATTCCAACGATATATCATATGCAATGATATGATGGTCGGAACAGTTATAGATTGGGTAAGATTTTAACATTATAGGTATTGTAGGTCAAATCAACGTAGGTCAAATCAACGACTACGAGTTGGATATCATAGGAAAGTCTGCTAATCCTAGATGTTTGCCAAAGGATAAGTCGAAACTCCTAGAATTATTTTAATAACTCGAAGGCATGGATGACGGGTGACATATGGTATGAAATAATGTCAAAATTCAACAAACAGATAGCCAAAGAGGGCAGACATACCCTTATGTTTGTCGACAACTTTAGTGGTCACACACCAGAATTGAAGTTTTCAAACATTAAGTTTGCGTTTATGCCATCAAATACCACTTCATGTACACAACCATTAGATGCTGGAATAATAAAGACATTCAAAAGTTATTATAGGAGACAATTAGTTGAACGACTTCTTGCTCTCATTGATGGCAACAGACCTCGAAAATAATATTACACTTTTAGATGCAGTTTTTATGGTAAAAACCGCATGGAATCAAGTCTCGAGTCAAACGATTTCCAACTGTTTTAGAAAGTGTGGATTTATTAATGATTTAAATCCAGTGTCTGAAGGCATCACAACCACTATTGAACCCATAGTTTCATGTGAACTGTAGCCACAATTGCAACACTCTTTGGGCATTGAATACGATTTCAATGAATATGTCGATTGTGATGAAGAGCTGTGTCGGTGATCTATCATCAGACACGTCCACACCATTAGAGTCAACTGATCCGCTATCAAGAGAATTTTATTCTGAACGAGAAGTAGAGTTAGAGACTGAAGTGTCCGAAAAAGCGCCGAATTTGTCAGACGTTTCGACGGCTATTTCTACCCTAAAGTCCTATTTTCTTGCAAAGGATGAGTGCAACGACGAGATGATCACTAATTTGGA